AATTTTAGCAAATATTAGTGAATATATTTGTTTAATTTATAAGCAAAAAGACACAAAGAAAAAAGTTGGGATGCGTGAGACTATTGAAATATGAATGAATTGAAATTGTGAATAAATATAGAGACCTATTTGTTATATGTGAAGAGTCAACAACAAAATAATAACACCAACAAATTAATCCCTGAAAAAATATTAGACCTATAAAGCCTACTAAGCACATATCAAAATTTAACGAAAATATTAGACCAGAAAAGCCTATTAAGCATATATGTACTAAAATATATAAAATATAATTAAGAAGGATGATGGCAATCTCTTTTACTGAAGTTTACAAAACAAAAATTGTTTTAGAAGATATATGTATTAATAAAACAAACAAAAATAAAATAAAGTTGATATATAATCACATATTGATTAAAAGCTATAAACTTGGATTTTCTATTTTTGATTCAAATCTCCAATATTGCAACTGACTTTTGCCACAGTCATGGCACCATAACCACTTACATGGTTATTGACCCAGGCCCACGGTGTATTGACTAATGATAATATCCAGACATGGTGAAGGCTAGTCACCGGAAAAAACGCCAAAACAAAAAATATATACTTAGCCTTATAGAACTTGATATATTTGATGGCATGCTTTACATATCATACATTTACATATTATACATATATTTAAATATATTATAAAAAAAGAAAAATTATTTAGCAAATGTTTTATCTTTGACTAGTTGTTTATATTAATATTTAATGTATGTTTAAAAAGCTCTCCTTGTGTTATTATAAGATAATTAACAATTATCTCATTGCTGTTTTATTTTATTTTACACTATATACTATATTTATTTAGATTGTAATAATAATTCCAAGAAAAATGTTTGTTAATATTTTTATTGAAATATATATTAAAAATATAAATATATTAAATATATCATATTCTATTTTCATTATAATAATACACTGTAGTAATGTTTCATGTCATTTCTAATAATTTTTTGAACAGTAGAACTCGTATTTCTACATATTCGTCCCTACTATTCAAAAATAGTAAAATAAAAAAATTCTTAGGAAAATAAGAATATGGATTTAACCAAGAACTTATATTATTAAATTTTTAAAAATCTTTTAGCTTCTGTAATATTATTTATCTATATTAAATTACAAGAAAAAACAAATTATGTTTTTTTATTATTTTACAATCCATTTTAAGGTTTTTATCAAGATATTTTAAATATTTAAGTGACTTTTAAATATAAATATTTCTGTAATTCGCTGAAGTCACAATTGTTAAAATAATTCTAAAATATAATTACTATTTTTGATTTAAAAGTATTGTAGGTTAAAAAGAAATAAATTTATTTCAATACAGACGTATGTACTTGAAGAGTTAATCGATTTATTAAAAGTCACCTTAAAATACCGTTGGTAAATATTTTTCTTACATCCTAACTTTAGGGTTAAATAAAAATTTTTAATAATTCTTTTAACTTTGTTATATTTATATTTATTAGTTGTATAAATAAAACATAAATATCGTGCATATTTATGACAAACTAAGATCAATAATTTATTTCATACTTTATTTCTCAATCTTTTATTTATAACACATTAACTTTTTAAGTTAAAAATTTTATTATATGCACTATATTAAAATTATTTCCATAATGAAGAGATTAATTACTTTATACTTTGTATCTTTATGCTGGTTATTGAATTGTTCGAATTACGTGAACAAATTTTTATTAAGGAAGTGCAGATACCAATACTTCACAGTTACTTTTTATAAAGCTAAAATTATTATACATTTCTATAAACTCAAATAAAGCAAAAATATAAACTACATTTAATATATGTATTTATAAAAATGTGTTAAATATTTAGTTGCTACCTTTAACTTTAAAAATTTGAGATTCAATTAAAGCATTAGACCAGAGATAATTATTTATTAATGATATGAATTTATCTGAAGGTATGGAGTGTATATAAATGTGCACATATCGTTAATTAATATTTTTATTATTTCATTTATTAACTCTAATAAATTTTATTTATGATAGTAATGAATGCATACTGAAGCGAGTTTATTCATAAATTATTATATACTGACATTAACTACACTAAATGAAGCCAAAAAACTAAATTTTTGTTATATTCTTTACTTCTAAACATAATTTAATGTAGTATTTAGTATAACATAATTATAAGTGTATAATAGAACAATGAACTAAATTACTGACTTGATTATATTTTATTAAGATTGTAGTTGAAATAAACTAAAACCAGTTAAAATCGTGTAAATATTTTATTTATACTAACATAATTAACATTTTTCTATAAAAACCCTACCTAATAAACTTATCAGAGAAGAATATTTTATTTTATAATAAAAATTATTTATTAGTAAGAAATTTTGTTTAACATCTTTATAAGGCTTCTATTCAAATAGTTTGCTATGTGCTTTATATTTACTAACGTAATTCATTTTTTGTATATAATAGACTTTTATAATAAATCAATCAGAATATCTTTTTTTATATTAAAAATTTTTATTTTTTTTTAATATATTTTCTAGAATTTAGAACAAAAGGTCTGCTAAGATCGCACTGCTCCGCTGCGGCTCCAGAACCCAATTAATGTTTGTTCTAGGCTTTAAGAAAAAAGTTAAACTATCTTTAAAACTGCAACAAACTAACAAATTTGTTGAATTAATTTAAACGTAGTAATAGCAATCAAATCTTTCAGGAATTCAGTGTAAATTAATACTTAGAAGAAATTTGTGTACTCTAAATAAAGATTAAATAATAATATAATAATAATTATGATTAATTTTAATTTTAAGCGTCATTAGTATCTACAAAATCATTAATGAAGTTATGAATTTCATTATAGCAAAGAAATAATTAATTAATTAAATTAATTAATTTATTAAAAGCAATATTGTGTTGTGCATTACTAATAAAAAATCTTAGTACTAAGAAAAGAATTTCGATTTAGAAAATAATATATTTGAAGAATATAGTTTCGTTATTATTCATTTTATATATTAAATTTAATAGAAATAATTTATTTACATAAATAAACTTGTGGTGTGATTTTCATAAAAAAACTTGTGCATATATTGTGCAAATAATATTATAAAATTAAATATATTTTTTATATATATATTTATAAACACATTAATTAAATTAAATAATAATGTGATAATTTTTATATATATTATGTTAATATAAATTGGTGTCATTGTGATAGTCTTGCCAGACTAAGACTTTGGTGCATATCAACTATCTATCCAGTTATCATTATCTCTCCAATGGACATAATGACATTTTTAAATGCTATGCGCCTATGGAACTAAAGTGGATTTGTCACAATAATCCTCAAAGGATGCAGTGACGTGGTGACATAGTTCCCAACTTTTCAAAATTTAACTATCTATTTAACATAAATTATATATTATAATAGTTAAGCATATATTTGTTGTCTAAGTAACATTTTAATTTTGCAATTTAAAAAAAAATGTAATAGCTTTATAAGTAATATTTTCCGCAGTTTTTTTAATTTTAGCTATTTTATATACTATGGATAAAATACTTTAATGGTTTTGAATAATAAATGCTTGGAGCTGAAGGACTGTTCGTTACCATAATAAGATATATATCAATTGGAATAAGGAATTGAATAAATTATAAGACATAAATCTGAAAGAAGTATACAAATAAAATAAAAGACAATACTTAAGTAATGTATTATTTTAAAATATTCTTAACTCTTTTATCTCCTTGTGGAGTGTTATTTTTTATGTGATTTCTTATTTTACAAAATAAAATTCGATAGACATATATGATGTAGATGCTATAGATAAAGATACTTTTAAAAAAATATTAATAAAATAAAATAAAAACATTTAAATTTAGTAAATATATAAAAAATAAACTACTAAATTTAATAAGTACGTAAAGGTTTAAGCTTTTTTTAATATAATACCTACGATAACTTGGCACCTTTTAATAACCCAAATTATGATAAAAATATATATTTTGGAATGAGTTCCCTACCAACTATCTGATTTATATAAATTCGTATATTATATAAATTTATGAGGTTACACTCTAAAATAAATTTCTCAAAATTAAATGCAATTTAAATTATAAAATTAACTTTATAAGTCAACATAGATATGTTAATCATTTATATCAGAATAAAAAGGAATTTAAAAAATGCTTCCTGCAATTATGTAAATTCTGTTCTTATATGTAAACTGTTTTTAAAATTTTATCTACTGTCACTAAATAGCAAAAATTTTGATTATACTTTTAATGAAATTTTACAAAAAAAAAAAAACAAAAAAAAAATAGTGATGTAAATTATAAAAATGCAGTAAACATTTGTTTCTTGCATAAATTACATATCATGAAAATGTGCAGATACTTCCTCATTGTCCTCATTATTTGTACTACGAGTACGAGTGCGAGTATCACTTTTCTGCTCGGTGAGTTTCATTTGTATCTACATCTTTTACTACATAAGCAACAAGCACTTAAACCAAAACTTATTTTCTGTTTTAAAACAAAATTTAAAATGACACAAAACACACATGAAATATTAAAGAACAAAAATAAGGAAAACAAGCTGACAAAAATGTGAGCAGGCACAAGTATTTTCACACATGAAAATCTTTGTTCTCATCCTTTCCAGCTGCAGTGGAAAAATCTCAAATACGAACAAAAGAAAATTTAATTAATTTTGGTGCACAGACACCAACCTACCAACCTAGCATTCTATCAACCAACCAACCAACACCGACTCTGATATCCGTACCTCAACAAACTGAAACTGAACTGAACCCAAAATGCACGAAATGAGCAGAAAATACTATACCACAAAACTATGGCATAGTACGAGTATGTAAAAATAGTGGAGCGACAGGCAGCAGGAAGAAGATTTTTCTTATTTTGGGAAATTTGGAAAATTGCTGAAAACATTTTGGTTGCACTTGCCTTGTCTGCCATGTGTGCGCGACGCTGTAGAATTTGCATCATTTGGAGGACGATGCGGTAAATGTTGATACTCGTAGTCGTAATGTGACGGTTGCTGTTGCTGCTGCTGTTGCAATTGTAAATTTTGTTGATTCTGATGCTGCAACGTATTATGTTGTGATTGTAGTGTATGTTGTTGTTGCTGCTGCTGCTGTTGTTGTTGCTGTTGTTGTCTCAATGAACCGGGTCCAGGACCGCGATTATCATCTCGACAATCCAGGGTGCTTTCATACTCATATGGATTCATATTTGCTTCCAATGGACATTCGTCGTCGTCAGTGTCGGTGCCACCGTCGTAGATGTTTTCGGTGTGACGGTATGCGTGATGATTTTGCTTTGAGAACTTAATTTTGATGGTTTTTAGAAGAACCGGTCAAAGTTGAAAAATAATTTAAGCCTTAGATGAATTAAACTAAGCTAGTAATTTGCTAGTTCCGTTACAAGCCAATTTCTAGACAGGCTCCTATCGGCTAGCTTTCATACACCCACTGTCGTCCGTTTATTCGCCAAGCTGCGTCATTGGTAAGTAAATTTATTTAAATTCCTTTAAATTTTTTCAAGCCACCAATCAATGTTTTATTTTCAATTTAACACATTTTCATTTAATACTACTTTATTTTTGTACTTTACAATAATTTTTTACTTCTATTGATTTTCACTGCACTTTTTGATTTTATGATTTTTACGGTTTGCTTTACTGCACTTTGCACGTTTCAGCACGTTTTCGACTGAAACAACATATTTTATTACAACTTTTCTTTGCTTTCTACTTTTATGACTTTGGCGCAATCTTGACTTATAAATTTTATATCTTCACTTTTTGTTCAAACCCCCATGAGACATTTGCATAACGTCTTCTGCAATGCTTCCTGGCCCGTGCTTGCTCCAAGCTGGTATAGGTATTCGAAGCTGGTTTCCTTCTTGGAGTTCTGCTGAGGTCTGTTGTTGTGGACTTGTTGTTGCCTTGTTGTGTGGGTAGCAAAATGGGAATTGCCTTTTTTCCGTGCCGTGTGTGCCTGTCCTGCAGCTAAGCAATAAAATATATTCAAAATGCCTTTAGCTGGAATTGGTTAGCGAGCGTATGTAAGCATATGCGATTCCTTGCCGTTTGCGTTCCTTGAGTTAACGTGGACGACACTGTGGCTTCTCGTCTGCCTGTTTTTACATTTGGTTTAATCCGTTTTACTTGGCCAGCGAGGAGTCAGGTCAAGTGCCGTAAATTTCTTTACGTTTTAGGGTAACTTTTCTACACAACTATGAATCGGATTGCAGGATTTATTTATTTGTATCCCGTATTTATTTTGATTATTGCACGATTTTTGTATAAATAAAATTGAAAACGATTTAAATTGGTTAAATTTTTAATTTTCCCTAGAAATTTTATTTTAGTTTCCACAAATGTACCGCACACAAGAAGTAGCCTTCTTCAGATTACAGATGACTACAGCGTATCGTTTCAAAATTGATTTTTGTTGGTAAAAACTTCTAATGCATTATTTATGGTTTAAATTTAAAGAATAGCACACGTTTCACTTGAGTTCGGAATTCTCCTCAAGGAATATTTATTATGTTTTTGTTTTCTTTCCATTTGCTTTACCACCGAAATGAGGCAGAAAACAATTTGTTATTTTGAAAATCGTTAACATAAAAAATCCTTATCAGTTTCCAAAAATATTTTTCAATACAACTTCAATAAAAACACAATATATAATTTTTGCAAGATATATCTTTAGTTGCAAATTTAATAGAAATTATTTCACATTCGTTAGTTGTATCTCGCGCGTGTTAAATGTCCGCGTATGGAAATGATCCGCTCGAATTTCTTGGCGATTACAAACAGCAAACGACGTTTAAAGACTAAATTCATGAATTTTTGTGTATCTTGAGGCAGCATGCGAGCAGGCAAAAATTTGTGTTCTTAAGAAACCAAATAAACAAAAACACAGAAAGTTTCGTTTAGTTACTCAATCGAAAACAAACTGCAAGATACACTCAACGAACCCAACATACGCAGCCTATGAGCAGGTAGTAAAAGTGAGTTAGCGAATAGCTTATGTGCTTCTTTGCCATTCATGCTTGCAGCAGTTTGCATTTAATTGAGCGGAGAGCCATGAAGAGAGAGCATAAATGAGAGAGTCACTGAGCGTAGTGCTTAGACAGAGTGTGAGCGCAACTAAACACAAAGTAACTTAACGAAACAAAACAAACGCATGCCGAGATACTGTTTTGGTTAAATTTCTGTTTGTAGTCTAGTGACTCTTGTGCGATACTCTGTGTCGCTAGTTACTTTCGCATTAGTCATGTACTCATTATGTTAACATATGTTGCGGCTATGCGCAAGTCATGATTGTAATGTTCTATTCCATTCGTTGTGTCCATCTCAGAGCAGTGAAGTGCGTGCCATATCGTTTATGAGCGCCACAACTAGAGTATAGAGCTAGGAAATCCTTTAGCAACATTACAATGTGAAATTCGTTTCATTAGTCTGACTTTGAGTCATGCGTCTTTCGTTGTAATGTGCAAAGATAAACTCAACCGAACTGGGAATTGTACGACGAAGACATTTGAAGGTTAAAAAGTGCGTTTAACCGTAACGCAAATTATGTTAACATTTCGACAACATTTTTATCTAAAAAGGGGAAATTATTTTCCTTCGTTGCATAGAAAACATTGTAACGAAAAATAATTTTCGTTAAATTTATCTTTATTTATTTTACAGTGCTTGTACATAAATTTAGCAGTGTAATTATGTGATGTTAGCAAAATGTTATGAGCAGTGAGTGCTTTGTTACGTTACTCTGCTATTATAACAGAAAATTATATACAAATATTTTGAAATACTCTAAAGCCGTTTTCCAAAAAAAAAACATGATTTTTATATGTATATTTAGATTGAAATAAAATTTGAATAAAGAAATTTACTAAAATATATACTTAATAAATATTTGATAAATATATATTTAAATAAATCTTTTACTATAATTTTTTTAAGATTTGTAAAATAATTATAAATATTATGAATATTATATATTATTTATTTATTTATTTCATTTTATATGTTATTATATACATTATTATATTATCTTATTTATTTTATACATTTTATATACATAAATTATATATAATACATATATTTTATATATAATATATATATATTTATATATTTATACATTTATTTAAAAAAATCTCTTATTTCAATAATTAATTATACAATTATTGTTAATATTTTAATATGCAAATGACATAATAATAAAGTTTATTTTAACCGAGTTTAAGGTCAGTTATTTAACAATTAAATTGTTAATAAGTAATACTTATTGATTTTTGTTAAAATTTTAAATACATTTTTAAAAAGTATTTAAACATTATATATATTTTTTATACTTCGTAGACTAACTTCAAGATACATCCAATTAACAAATGTGGAATGTAGAAAATATGACATAAATATTTGTTTGTTTGTTTGTGCGAACATTAGAGTCAAGTACGGCTTGGTTAAGGGTGAATTGGTTAAGATGCGCTGACTCTGAGTTTAAAATTTGGCAGGACACGAATTCGATGCCTGGTGCTTGCAATCTCAAAAACTTATTTACAAATAATTAAATACAACAAGAACTATTTCCAAGACCACTGATGATGGGTTTTTGGCAATAGTCGAAACAACTGCATTGTCAGCCAAAAATACAATTAATTAAAATAATATAAAATAAATATTTGTTGTTTTAGTTCAGTACTGTTCGAAAAACTTCTTCATAATTAATTCAGATATTATATATTTTATATGTATAAATAATAGTTTTTATGATATGATAAGCATAATGAAATGAGTAAATTTAACAGTCTTAAAATAACAGGAATAAAAAATAGTCATTGAAATCTATTATATTCATGGGTGCAGCTGGGTAGTATCAAGGTGCGCTAGCCCCTTTACCTGTATCTTAATGCGTTATCTTATTTTTAGCAAAAAATTAAATACTATTAAACCAGCAGTTTCCGTTTAAAATTAAATTTAACAGTGATAAAATTATCACTGTTAAAATGATGCAGTGATAATTTCAATGTGAGTGGGAGCTGATAGAGGAAAGAACTCACGTTTAAAAGAAATAACTGTTTCTGTCATATTAGTATATCTATAACTCACCATCCTCCTAATTTTCTTTCTAGCTGATCGCATATTCTACTTATGTCCTATGTTTTCATTCAGATTAATGTTTCAGAAATCATTCCGGCATATAGGGATTGTTCGCCAATATGGACTTTTTAAGGATTTTTTATAATTATCGCTGAACAGATTAGATTAATAGTTTAGGTATTAAGATATGTTTGCTTTTGCAGGAAGTAGGACCAGGAGTGGATGGGATAAAGACAAACATTAATGACGATAAAAATGACAAATAATAAAAAAAGTTATAGCGTGGCGATTTGTTTTTTAAAGCACCCGTCGCTGGTCAATAAAGACAGTTTTCTGGCTAAAAGGTTGAAGTGAACTTATAGTTCTTCTACATAAAAAATCTACATTAAGTTATCTGCTAACATTTCCGTTTATTCAAACAAACTGAGTTATGTACATGAAAAGTCACATAGATTTCACATTTTTCAGTAAATTCTTATTAAAATAATCATACGGAATAGTAGACAATAGTAAAATTAACAATAAACTACATGCAAAGGAATGAATTGTGCAATGCTGGTAAAATAATTTTGTAATGAAGGTATTTGCAGGTTCACATAGATCCTTGGATATGCAAATGCATTGCTTAGTTTGCTATCAGAGCTCCGCTAGCTTTCAACTGTTGGTTTTACACTGCAATGTGCTATACTGGGTATGTGAGTTCAGGCAGGATATAAAATTTCATTTCTGTGTCCTGTTTGTGGAACCATTACTTATGCTTTTATTGGAGTTAACTTTTAAACTCGTATTGTACGATGACTTCGGATACTGAGCAGAAGTTGGTTTATAAGATTTTCTTTGTACCTTAGGTTGCTATTAGAAGTTGGTTTAATTTTGATAAGTTGTTATTTTTAAATAAGAAATATTTAAAAATTAAAATGATGTTTATATATAGTATTTTTGGGTTAATTTATTTACATAGTCATTAAATGTTCTATTATTATTATTTGATTGCAAAAGTTATATTAAATGCTTTATTATTCAATAATAATACTTGACACAAGTCAAGTATGGCATTGGGCCAGTTGGATAAATAACACTGACTCTGTGCTTCAAATTTAGCAGGGCATAAATGAGTTCAAACCTTGGTATTTGCAGTCTCAAAAAATTATTTACAAATAATTAAATATAAGAAATAATTGCAAAATATTACTGATGATGCGTATTTATCAGTACTAGAAACAGCTGAATGGTCTGCCAAAAATGCAATTAAGTGATAAAATAGTAAAATTTTGTTGTTGTAAGTCATTACTATTTTGAGACATGATTTATTCGTTATAATTGACTTTTAAAATTGAATGCATTAACAACAAAGTATGCTAATATTTGCCTCTATATAGTTAAATCAATAGTTAAATTATGTAGATTTTTAAATAATTAAATAAATGACTAGAATCGGGGAGTAGAATCGGGATATGTTAAATATGCGCCTCTTATAGTCAAGGCATATAAAGATTATGCGCCTTAAAATAATCTTTTTTCTAATGAAAACAGTATAAGTTGTATTGAGTATTCCTTATTAGACAAAATACTAACATTTCTAGAACTATGAACTTAAATAAACATATTTTAAAATTACTTTTACTTATTTAATTTTATTTATATAAGTTGACAAATGTTGACTTCACAGTGGACTTAGTTTTAAATTTTTTTTAAATATTTATTTAATAAACATTTAAATATTGAATAATTTTAACTCTCTGCGGCTACTGCTCCCGTGGCTTCTGTCCCCAGCAGCTCCTCGTTTACTGCTCCTACGTGAAGCCACTGAAACTAAGCATTTGTATGCGCTCGAATGCTAATAAATATCTCAATCAACACTAATTGCTGTTCAAGGAAATGCATTGAATGTTTAAAAATTTTGTACTCATGAATACTTAATTTTATTATCGCATCGAGTCTGGAGTGGTTTTTTCAGTTGCTGTCAACACGGCAATTTGAAAACAATTACAGGAACGACTCTAATTGCGAGAAAACCATAAATAGAATCGCGTTAGCTGCACACAAAAATGTATCTGAGTTCCTCGTACTGCACTCCGTGCATATGGCTTTGGTTTTTTCCTGAAATTGTTTTCGTTGTTTCAAATTTGGCATCTTCCAAACAGAAAATTATGCAGTAGCAAAAGGAGTGACAAAATAAAAGTCACACATAACACGGAGTTGCATTCACAAGCAGCCTCGCGTCTTAGCTTTCGACACCTTCGGTTGCTTGTGCAGAGCAACCTAATCAGTGGCAGTCGTGTTTGCGTATCTGGAAGGAGACATGCACAACTGGTTGTGGTAGGTTGAGCGCTGGTCCGCCCGCTACAAGACGAAGTCACAGGGAAACGCACAGCAGACAAACGAATACATTACGACGACCACACACGTCACATGTAATAATTCGTCGTCGGACTCATACGGCACGAAGTGGCTTACAATTGAAAGCAGACGATCAACCAAACAGCAAGGCATTGATACAGACAGTTAGACAAACGGGCAGAGATATTGAAAGATAGGCTGAGAAAATAGTATGCAGATTCAATATGGGAACTCGTTACCATCCAACTGACACGGACGTCGATTTGGCTGCGTAGCAGTGACAATGTCAGTAAACATTTGCATCTAAAGTGGCTAAATGTAGCGTTCGATAAGCCAGAAATACGCGAACAAATCTTGTGTGTACACTGGACTGAGTTGGAGTGCAGGCTTTGGTTCCATAATAAATTCGGTTTCTCGTTGAATGAACGTAGAACGTTGAACTGCTAAG